GCTGTAATTGAACTAAGGAAGCACAGTTATGGAGCCTTGTGATATTAAGGGAGCATTAGCTACATTTAGGCAAATAAGTTGTTTGCATATTTCCATACTTTTGATGCCACCAATTATCTTTCTTATTATTGTGTCATCAATGTCCAATATAAAGTTTTATCAGGAAAAATATTCCAAATCAGAAACTTACAAGATAGCTGAATGTTTAAGATAAGATTCTGACCAATTCATTTATCTTGAAAATTCCAAATTTGTAGATCCTCATTAAAGTCAACCCAGTCAGTTTGGTCTAGTAGATCAGGTTTAGGCAAACCAAGTTAGTGACTTAGTCAGACATGCTCTTTCAGCCCTTAAAAGGCCATGACAGCTCGCTTGCATGACTTGTTGTGTAAATCACTAGTTGTCAGACAAATGTTAATGCAACCATATAACAAAAATGAAAAAAATGACTAGGCCTCCTCCGAATTCCATCCGCCGGCCAGTGTCGACTGGCGACTACCCGGAGGAGAGCCTTCTCTGTGGCTGCTCCGACGCTCTGGAACGAACTCCCCGTGGAGATTCGTACCCTCACCACCCTCCAGGCCTTCCGCATAGCCCTTAAAACCTGGCTGTTCCGACCGGCCTGGGGCTAAAGAATCGTTGCCCCTATCTCGAATGGTATGATTGTTGCGCTTTTTAATTATGTATTGTTTTGTGTTGTTGTCAACTGTCTGTATCCCCCTTCCCTTTTTGAGTTGTGAGCCGCCCTGAGTCCCCTTAGGGAAAAGGGTGGCATACAAATGAAATAAAACTCTAAACTCTAAACTCTAAAGAAAACTTACTTGTACCAATCATGATTACTGTATAGTTGGAAAGAATATATTTGCTTCATTTTGGTTCATTTTCTATAATAACCTACCAACCATCCATTAATAAATTGGAATAATCATTAAAATCAGATGCAGGTTAAAATGAAATGTGGACTCAGTGCTCAGTTCTGAAAAGATTCAGACCTCATATATTTAGAGATATTGAATTAGTATGCCATCTTTTCTTTCGACAATCTTCACCTTTTTTTCATCAGCTACATTGCAGGAGGTGTAACATGATTTTTCTATGTGAAAATAGCTAAATTGATTGAATGTGGCCAGTGCAGAAGAATGAAGATTTGATTCCCTTAATTTCTTTGATAAGAATCTAGCAAACTTGTCTACTTTTCTTGAAGTGGAAATTATATATCAGAATGTTAGAATAAGATATAACAATTTCTTTATTTTGAGCTAGAAAATATATACATTAATCAAGCTATTTTCTCTTTATATGCCTTTGTATGATATTAACAAAATATTGACCTTTGTGCTTAAAAGAGCCCCACTGGCACAGTGGTCAGTATACAGAACTGCAGGCTAATGCACTGCTAACTCCAATTCGATTCTAAGCAGTCAAGTTTGACTCAGCCTTCCCTCCTTCCGAGGTTGATAAAATGTAGACCCAGTTTGTTGGGGGCAATATGCTGATTCTCTAAATTGCTTAGAAAGGGCTTTAAAGTACTATGAAGTGGTATATAAGTCTAAGTGCTATTGCTATTAATTATTGAATGTTAATTATTCTTCATATTAAAAGATCTCCTCTTTGTAAAATATGTGCATGCTACATATCAAATAATGATGTATAGGTTTCCATGTAGCATAAAGTCTTTGCCTACAATTTCAGAGTACATCATAATGGCCAGAAAGCTATTTCAATAGTATGTAACTTTCACAATTTTATAGATCAACGAGGTGTTCATATCCTAGAGGATTTATGCAGACTAGATCTACATTAATAAAACTTGCCAAGTTTTTATCCCATTCCTGCATTCTTTTGGCATTTTTATGCTATAAAAGATGTTGAAATCCTTTTATAATTAATTAGCATGGCCTAAAATTCCTTTTAATCTATTCAGTGTTCCTTTGTGCTTCATGTAATTCATACTGAATTAACTGAGAGAATAAGAAGAAATCCAGGAATAAATTAATTTGAATGTTACAGATGATTTTTAGATAACATTATCATTCACTATAATACAGAGTCTCAGTCATCCATTTATAGAGCAAGCATATGATTTTAATTCTTGTACTAGTATGGAATCTGATTTTGTTTTGACAGCAGTAGCAGCATATAAAAAGCCATCTAACGGATAATAATAGCCATTTTCCATTTAGGAAAGCAAAGAAATGGTTAGTGGAGTCAAACAATGACTTGAATTACATAGCTTGTGGATGCATATTCAGCAAATGAAACCTGTTTAAACATTGTGAATAATTCCAGAAAGAGCTTTTGTATATGTATTGTCAGAATCAAGAAGAGGAGCAGTAGGTTTGGTTTTAAAGGGCTAATAAATGTGTAAGAACCCTATAGCACAATGTAAAAATAATCTGAGTTTATACAGCTTATAGTAGAAGAGTTTGCATCATAAATTACATACTGGATTTTAGAATAGAAAGATTCCTAAATAAATAAACAAACAAACAAACAAACAAATTTAAAATGTTAAAATAAAACAGGCTTAAAAATAAACTGAAGCTATTTGAAATTTTATAATGGGGAAATAATTTTTCAGCATGATCACTCTTCAACTAGAATCAATGTATGTTTGCTATATGTATGTCCTGTGTCACACAGTAAGGTATGTGCTGTATGTGCTGTATGTCCATACACAGTGAAGTATGTGCTGTATGTCCATACACAGTGAAGTATGTCCTGTGTCAGTAGATATGTGTGAGGTAGATATCCATGAAAAATAGGAATATTGTCATCCTTTGATTGCTTTATTATAAACTGGTATATAGAAATGGAAAATTGGTACAGAGATATTTTACTGCCTAAATTATTGAATAGCAGCAGCGTATATTTGAATGTCCATGGATCAAAAATAAAGACAGCAGAGAAAATGAAAGTCTTCTACCATTTTTACAAAATACGATTCCACTGATCTGATAGCAGGTCAGCTGATTTCTGGGGAATTTACTTTTTCTGATTACATACACCTTTTAGAATGACTGAAGCAAAGAAAAGCTTTGGGGATTATTTGAACCAGAATCTTGAAGATTTGAATCAAAGATCTTATACCTTCAATTTGAGAAAAGAAAGGCAGCTGAAAAGTCTTATGATTAATCCTATAAAACAAGAATGACACAACATTAAAGTTTATTTAAAAAAAAACTTTGAACAGATATGAAAAATCTTTTAAAAGCCAGAAAACATCTTTAGGATGAAATTACTTGTTCACATGGTTTTTGTAAAATAAACAATTGATACATTATAAATATCTATTTCACTAATAAGATCAATTTTCATGACAGAAAGGGATCAATTTTTCCTTTTCTCTAGCTATGTTTGTTTATTCGGAACATTTTGGAGAGATTAAAAACTTTTGAGTATTATTGCAAGACAATATACAACTTTCTTTTGTGATGATTATTCAATTCAAAAACTAGTTAAAATCCTACTGACTGTGCAGTAGGCATGTACACGATCATGGCACGTAGACAACAAGCAGTATTGCCTTCAGTTATTTTTCCTGCCCACCCAACTTGGTTTTGTAAAATCTTACTAACTAGCAGGCAACTTTAAATTACTGACATCACTGTGATAGATTATTATTTTATTTGGTAAAGTAACACACTTTGTATGGGGGCTGGCTTTGAATGCTACTTAGGAACTGGAGGTGCTAATTGCTGTAGAGTCCAACTGGTGAGTAAGAACCAACTCAATCTTGTGACAGCTATATCAAGGGACAGTAGATAAGTTTCTGATAAGTTTCCAAGTAAAATTCAAATTGATTTTTATATTCCCTAAATCAGGACTACATTCTTCAATACATAACCTGAAAATGTTAGATGCTCTTCAGAAACAGGACGGTGCTCAGAGCAGGTGTTTCTTAACAGCATTTCCCATTTAATGGATGAGCCTTCCCCAAGAGTCCATTTGATAATACCATAAACACATTAAGAAAGGATTTTCCAAATTGTTTTTGGAAGTTAGTGTTCCTTTAACTTTCGGTTGGTTATTTGTATTTTATTTTTTTCTATTTATTATAGTTTTTAATTGCATTTTCTGGTTTTAATGCCTTATTATTACAGTAAGCCTGTAATAAGATTCAGTAGTATAAATATACATTCATAAAAATTAAAATCTGTAGTATGGATAGTGTTCTTGGATGCAGGAAAAAATATGTAATTGGTTCAGCAGAGGCATCTGAAAGAATTCTTGCCTAAATCATATTCCCACTTTTCTTATTAACTGGATTAATAGTAATAAGCCATATCCTTTTCATGACTTAAAATGGAATTGTCTCTTCCTCTGCCAAGGTGTCTCAGTGATAGTTTCCTTTTATTTTTAATTTGATGAAAAGTAACTTCATAAGAAATTTATTGTATCCTATAAAATGACAAAACTTTGCTTTCTGTATATTTGTGATCCTTTTTCAAATATCCATTAAGATCATTCAAAACATTAATATCTTAGTAGCTACTTTGGAATTTCTATATTTTTCAGTTATGAACAATAACAATAGCAATAGCACTTAGGCTTATATACCGCTTGAAAGTACTTTACAGCTCTCTCTCTAAGAGGTTTACAGAGTCAGCCTATTGCCCCCAACAATCTGTGTCCTCATTTTACCAACCTTGGAAGGATGGAACACTGAGTCAATCTTGAGCTAGTGAGACCCGAACTGCCAAATTACTGGCAGTTGGTGATAGCAGTTGGTGATAGAATACTGCAGTGCTGTATTCTAACCACTGCACCACCATGGCTCTAACAAGTGTTTGAAGTACTATAACACTGTACTTTCTTCAACGAGCCACCTTTAAGATGTTTTGACCTGAACTTCTCATTCCTAATCATGAAATATTACTCCTGGTACTATTGGGTTTTGTGGTTTACAGTATCTGGAGGACATCCTCTGGGGAAAGTATGCTGGGCATGAAATAAGCAGGTTATATTTATAAATATTGTACTTTTGTCTTTTTTTACAGATAGCAATTTCATTCTTGCCAATGCTCAAGTGGCTAAAGGATTCCCCATAGTTTACTGTTCTGATGGCTTCTGTGAGCTTTCTGGATTTGCACGAACCGAAGTCATGCAGAAGAGCTGCAGCTGTAAATTTTTATATGGTGCTGAAACAAATGAGCAAATGATTCTCCAAATTGAAAAGTCATTGGAAGAAAAAATGGAATTCAAAGGAGAGATCATGTTTTATAAAAAGAACAGTGAGTATTATTTTCTTAAATATTGTTTACATGGATAGAAATTTAGGAGAAAGATGGTGCTGGCATGTTTTGATAATAATTAGCTACTCCATTAGGTTATAGCTAAGATAAAGTCAATATATCATCGTATAAATACACTGGTATACTTTGATATACATTATTCATATGTAGCTTATTTGAGAAATAAATAACATTAAAATTAAAGTTATAAATTCATTTTACTACCAATGTTCTTACCTGGCCATGAAAATATAAGATAGATAAGAAAAATGTATAGCATCACTATTCTTGTCTCTAGTGATGATTCTTTACATATAGTACTATATATCATTTACCAAAGAGACTTAAATGTATTTAATTGATTATTGTAGATGAGTTCAAAATGTTGGAACATAGTAATAAATAATGTAAAACTTTTTTTTCTTTTAATTTTAAATCTTGAACTGGTGTAAGGTTGACCTCCTATAATTAGGAAATGTAATAAGCCTAGATAGTATATAAAATAGAAATAAATGTATATTATAGTATGCATTTGTTTATAACATATTCAAAAATATAATTCAGCATGTTTTTATGACTTTTTTAACCTAGTAGGATAGAATCTTGGTTTGATTTTAATCTTTTGCCAGTTGCTTTAAACCAACTAACTTTTATGACAAAATAATGCTAGTGTGGAAGTTATATTTCAGTCTATCACGTTAGGGATGATTGTATAATACTTAGTATGCTTCAGATTCATATATATATATTATCTTCCTGAGTCTTTGAGAATATGATCTGTAATTCCATATAAGTAGTTTTCATCAATAAACAGTTTAAATATATATAATATGCTGGTTAAGGTATAATTTTAAGGTATATCAAAATTAATTTTAAAATAATTTAAAATGAAACTTTTGTTAAAACTAAATTAATAGGAGTTGAACTTACATATTGACAATTTCAAATATATAAATCATACCAATTCATAATAAAATGCATTCATACAAATTTCATAAGAATAATTCTAGCCTTATCTTTAATATACCTGGTAGAGCATAAACTTCAATAACTTCAATAATTTATTATTCTGGTGTATTATTCTGAAATACAGCACACATAGACTCATGGTTGGTCAAGCAGGAAAATAATAAAAGTGAGGTCAGGCAGAAAAATGTGAAGAATATGAAAATAATGACAAATATTTTCACACTGTGGCAAATTGGTACTAGGTCATTTACCATTTTAAATTAATTATTACATTATTTGATAAAAGGTTTGATTTGATGCTATATGGCTTCAAGCACTGTCCTTGAGAATAAAGGATGCCAATTCAATATGCATTAGATTCAATTGTCCCAAATCATAACCAACAAAACCATCATAACCTTAGTTTTGTTGGTAAGCAACACATTTGGAACACATAGGTTGGGGAGGGCAGAATATAGAGACTAGTGAGCCAGGTAGAGCATTTTTTAGATTCAATATAATAAAAATTCACATAAATTCAGATGAGGGCCTAGATTGTTCAGGGCAATATGCAAATAATACTTACATTGCAAAACACTCAGAGAGTTCTGTAAAGCACAATGGAACAGTATATATAAGCATAAATGCTATTACTATATACTTTCTATGCAGATTTCTATGCAGAAATTCATTTTTTTATTACCGGTTCTGTGGGTGTGGCTTGGTGGGCATGGCAGAGGAAGGATACTGTAAAATCTCCATTCCCACCCCACTCTGGGGCTAGTCAAAGGTGGTATTTGCCAGTTCTCCAAACTGCTCAAAATTTCTGCTACAGGTTCTCCAGAATCTGCTGAATTTCACCCCTGTTTCTATGTATGTGTAAGGCATGCACAATTATGTTCATACAATATCCCCTGTGTTGGCATTATATTTGCTTCTCTTCTGAAACAGAAAGTAATAGCAATAATGCTTTTGAAGCACATGCTTCCTTATATATTGGCCTTATATATGGCCAATTGATCCTGAATATAGTAGGCTGCCTTTAAATAGGTGCCAATAAGCCTACATATTGTTAATATGCATAACGTTTATGTATGAGGACATCAGTTATATGTACTTAAAAATATGAAGATGTAGGTTGAATTAAGGTAAAGATGTACTTTTAGAAGTTGCTAAGAAAGAGTGGTAGAGAATGGATAATAAGGAAAAAATAGTAATGTTGGAGTGACTTTTAAAAACATTCTGGAAGTTAGTAGAGTTGCAAGAGTCAGAACACTAGATTGGGGAGAACATTGCTTAAAAATCTGGACTTTGAAATAATATTTCTGTGTTTCAGTAAATTCTGACTTTTGAAATCAAAATCAAGGGATTATACTGAAAATAATTAATTGTGTCATATTCAAACTTTATGAAGAAATACATCTGGACAACCTGACAATGGGGAATGTGGTTTGAATATTGTTTCTTAGATGTGCATGTCACCTTTGTCTCCGCTGATGTTTTTCAATAAATGTCCATATCCAGAATTCTGATTATTTTTGGCCGCAAAAGTAGAATTACTATACCAAAGTGATATAAAGAACTACATCAATTTAACTCCACAGACTCTAGACTACAAATAAAATCTATTTAATTATACCATTTATTAACATATTTAATATTTATATGATGATCTCTTAGCTGTAATATCACTTAATGTAAGATTTTAGAACCAACAAATATGTGACTAACCAGTCTTGGTTTAAAAATGCTCAAAATGATTTATAAAAATAATGTTGCTCTTAAAGAATCTCCTACACAAAACTGGAGATTGTAAAATGAATTATGAGTGCTTGTTTTTAGGGAGCATTTCCTAAAACTTGTGCAAGAAATAAAGCCAGTTTGGAACAAGATTGGATCAAATTAAATATATGACTACTTTGGCCCAGTTTTTAAACAAAAAGCAAGAGAAATAAGTGTCTCTACACTAAAATATTGAAGTATCTTTATCATATAACCATCCTTCCCTATTTTACATAATTTTATTTCAACAACTTTTTAAATTTAGAAGCAATTAGACAACTCTATGATCCATTGGGTCATCCTTTGAAAGAGAGATAATACTGTCTGATGTGACTAAATTAACAATAACCTTTAGAATTTTATTTATCCCAATGCTGGATAATCCTATATCAGTATTTCATAAATATAAAAAAACAATTTAATGGCAAATAAATTTCAATAATAAATCAATATTTACTTACCTAAACAAAACAACCACAGGTGATCAAAAACAAAACAAAACAGCAGGAGCAGAAGTGATTTATGACTTTCTGCCAGATTTCTTATAGACTTTGCTTGTGGGAAGCTGGCAGTATTAGAAATCATGTTTATATCACAGTGGGAACATTTGAATGTCACAATGTTGTGAATAAAACTGATCTAGACATCATGAAAATTTCAATTTCACAGGAAAAATGGGTCCCAGATTTTTAATGCATTCTTTTTTATTATTTTTTATTTTTTGAATAGACACAAACAAACAAGACACAAAAAACACCATAAAAATATTCCATTACAAATTATAAAAAGTGTGTCAATTGGTTACAAAGAACTTTCCTGCATCCCTTCCACAGTCATCACCCATAATCCATATAAAATTATATATTTTACATATTTTACATATATATATATTACTCTTATCATACCTCATCCTTCATATGACTATAGTTGTTTTAACATCCCTTTATAACAAATATTCCAAAATTCAAAGTAAAACCACATAATGGCATTCCATTGTCTATTTTCAATATCATCCAACAACATTCTATCTTTGTGAAACGTTCTAAATAAAAATTAATTATGTTTGATAACAAAGTTTCTAAACCTCCTTTCTTAATCACTGTTTACAACTTATATCCAATTTCAATATTATAGGCTTTCATGCATAACTAAGTTTCAAAACTTCCTTTCATGGTCATAAATTTATAAATTTAAAAATTTATACCAAAATTTATTTTGTCAAACCAATACATATGTATAAATTATATCATTATCAATTATCTATCTAGCTATATCCATTATCACTTCATTTTTAACATAATGTTCTAATTTTAACTATTTAGCTAGTATTTGTTAATAGTTTTCATTCTGTGTCTTTCCAGTAGTAGTATAGTCTTATTTCTTTTGCCTTATGTGGGCTTAATCTTCTGGTTATTTCCTTAATCTACTTTGTGTGGACTTCTCTTCGCACTTTGTTGCTTGTCTTATAAATTCTCGAAACCCTTCATCAGCTTCTTTAATCAGCTTATCTTTGGTTATCAGTAATGCTTTTGTCAAAGTTCCTCTCCTTAAATCCATCAATTCTTCTCTTTTTTCTCCTTCTATACTTTGAAATCTGCAGTAGAGATCCTTTTCATCTCTCTTCTCTTTCCATGTTCCATTCTTTCCATTTCCAACCATGCACAGATCACTGTCAATATCTACAGTTATCTTGCCTCTTTGTTCATTTCTCCATTGGGTTTTTGAGACTACCTCCACTTTTTCCATTATCTGGCTATCTTCAATTTCATCAAATTTTGCTATATTAACATCTATATTTTCCAATTTCTTCTCAATTCTCTCTGACATTTCTAATAATTTTTGAATTTCAAACATAATCTGTTGTAATGTTATGGTTTCTTCTTGGTATTATATCATTGTCCAATTTATAAACACTGCCACTCTAGTTGGAAAACAAAGCTTTGTTTTTCACTTCTCTCTCGCTGCCAAAGAGACATCCAAAGGGCACCTGCATAAACAACCCATCTTATCTCTTTGCAAGCTAAAACCTTTGAAGTGCAAGGTCAAAATGATCAAAGAAAAGAGAGAGAAAAATATTTCCAGAACTCAGCCTCCAACCTCCAAGTGGCAGTGTAACTTCTTTTCCCTCTGATGTTACTGCTCTCTTTATATTCCTTTTATATCCCCTTTATATTCCAAGCTCTTAAGTAGAACAAAATAAAAAGAAAAAAACCCATCCAAGCCAGTATTGTGAAAATTTAAAAAAAAGATATAATCCATAGGTTAAAAAA